GTCTGCTTCTCCCTCTGACCCTCCTCCCTCTCATGCTCTCTGTCTCTCATTGTCTCTCTCACAAATAAATAAATAAAATCTTAATAAAAAAAAATTTAAAGAAATCCACATATAAAATGTGCTTGCCGAGGTTTAAACAAGCCGATTTATCTGTAGCCGCTCTGGCGGCAGGCGGCAATGCAAAGGTCACTAAGCAAAGCGCCTGAGGAGTGTCACACCACGTGCACAGCCAAGATTCTTGCTTTTGTACCATTTTTCACCAACACATGGCATCTTTGCCTTCAGTGTGTGACTATGGGAGTGGTAGCCAGGGTGAAGACAGGAATTAAAATGCGGTGGGAAATCATCCACTTTCTTGAGCACTTATTATATGCCAGGTGCCGTGCTCGGTAAGCCCACTATGTATTATTCTCCTTTGATCAATTGAACAAAAGCAATCAGAGAAAAGCCTTTCAGAATGAATGATTATTTGGGAATTGGAGGTTGCAAAGAGGAGGTGTTTTGGCCGGCTGGGATACAAGTCACTGACTAAGATTTGTAAATGCTCATTTTAAGAGGGTTTTTATGCATCTCTTTTCCTCTCCTTTATGTGACTGTAGGGCTCTCCCTCATACAGCCAGTTTTCTTCATTGCTGTAGGTGCACACACATCCACATATTCGTGAAGATATAAAGTCTAAAAAACCTGTTACAGGAAAAGGTTTTAGCTGTTTCTTTTTTTTAATCTTATTTCCTTTCACTGAGACCCAGTTTTGAAGGGAAAATGCTTCAGCTTTGGTGTTTCATCTCATTAAAGTACTCCACGGAAAAGAGTTTGCTAGAAATTTATAAACAAGTGCAGCATTCTGGGTCTAATTAGCTGGAAGGATACCTGTATAAATGGAATCTGTCGGACACAATAAGCTGCCCTTCCCCCACTTACTTATATAATAATCCTGGCTTTCAGAAGACTAATCACTACACACCATCTACACAGCATCTAATTTCCTCATCAAATTTCTCTGCTGGGTTTAGCCATGCTTGTCAACTTCCCAGCTCCCTCTTCAATAACTGGGTTTATTCTTAGTGTCTCGCCAATAAACATTCCTATGAGCAAAACCGTGAAAGAATGAAGTCCAAATTTCTTTATCGCTCCCTCTTTCGAGAAGGTTTTTCTGCTCAGACTCCTGGGAAAGGTCACAGGTAATTTTGGCTGGTCACTTTAGGGTGGCAGGATTGCAGCGAGCACATTGGGGCCTTTTGTTTAAACGACCCCCTGACCACCAAAGGTGACCACAAGCTGCAGGGAGACCATTTAGAAAAGCGCACAGGCGGTCATGGAACCAAGTCTGCCCAGTTCAGTCTCCCTTTCAGCACAAATTAAGTTGCTCATATTCTGCGTCAGGACAAATGTAGCTTTCTGCAAGCAAACTTATCTTCCCTTTTGCTTATGTGCTCCGTATTGCTGAGGGTTTGCAAGACGTTTTAAGATGACTTATTGTGGCAGAGAAAGCTACCGTGAATGAACTGAAAGCCAAATCCTTTTCATATTAATTTTATCAATGGAAAGTTCATTTAAATCTTTCCCACTGAGTATCTCCAAAATACCTGCCTTTGTAGAGTCTCAAAAGAGAAGTGGGGGTGGGGGGCACCTGGGTGGCTCAATCATTAAGCGTCTGCCTTTGGCTCAGGTCATGATCCCAGAGTCCTGGGATCAAGCCCTACATCGGGCTCCCTGCTCAGTGGGAAGCCTGCTTCGCCCTCTCCCACTCCCCCTGCTTGTGTTCCCTCTCTCGCTATGTCTCTCTCTGTCAAATAAATAAATAAAAAAGAGAGAAGTAGGCACCTAGTAAATTGTGTAAATACATAACTACTGAACTGGTTATTTCTAAAATAGTATTGGCGTGTGGTGCTGGATGGGTGGAATTATGTACCCCCTCCCCTCCACTTCCTAAAAAGATATGTCAGAATCCTAACCCCCTGTGCCTTGGAATGTGACTTTATTTGGAGGTAGAGATGTTATAGAAGTAATCAAATTAAAATGAGGTGCTTAGGATGGGCTCTAACCCAACATGACTGGTGCCTTATAAAAAGGGGAAATTGGACACACACTGGGAGAAGGAAGACAAAATTGGGGTGAACAGCAGAAGCCAAAGATTGCCAGCAGACCACCAGAAGCTAGGAGAGAGGCATGGAGCAGCTCTCCCTCACAGCCCTTAGCAAGAATCAACCCTGCTGACACCAGGGGCTTGG